TGATCCTCTAGTTTTAGTCTACACTGCATATATTACAGTAACTCCGAATATTTCAGCAAACGAGGCCTTGTAAAAAATACATTTGGTATGTTGCTTTCTACAAAGGTACACCAGATTCCCTAACAAGAAAATCTTCATAAATCATTTCAAAGTTGAAGAAGCTTTCAAACTGAAATTTCAGGGTCCAAATTGAATAAAAATATTCAATGCAAAATTTACACATGACACACAACAATAGAAATTTGATAACATCCCAAATAAACACACCATTTCTAGTTACAATCACATCTGTATGTGAGCTGCCATATTTGTTGATGTGATCCACAGCATCCTCCACATTTTCCACCACCTCAATGGTACACTGCAGGTCGCCATACTCTGTCCTCATGGATGATGCTGGCACAGGGCCAAACTTGAGATGACTCAGCAATCTGGGTCCTCCTAGAATCTTCACCTGAAAAATTATCAGGATTTTTGCCATAACTTGAAAAATATTATGAATTTTTGCTATTCTTGTATTTCACATTTTAATGTTAAAACTTTTTTGACTTCAGGTTAACTTGCAGACTTTTAGTTTTTGATATACGTAACAACTGAACTAAAGAATAAAAACCTACATTTTCCTTTCGCAAAATGTCACACACATGGTCGAAGAAACCAGTTCGTAAGTGATCGTGATGTATGAGAAGTGTTTCCATGGCATTGCAGGCTGCAGGGTAGTCACATTTGGCATCAACCACTGAAAGTTCATCAAATATAACTTTCTGAACCCAATAAAGAGACTTTCACTACTGCAAGTAAGAAACTGCTTTGTGATTGCTGTTTGTGCTGTATTTGCCATATATGCCTACTGAATCAGTTTGTATTTTCATTGTCATTAATCTAAAGGAATGCCTACACCATAGGATAAAAACAAGTAGACAGCACTATATCTGTTTATTTAGTTATCTTTCTTGATTTCCAAAGAATTATCAATAATATATCATCATTATCATCCTTCGCCCTTGGGCAGAATGGCAGCAGCAGCAACGTGTTTGGACCAGTAATATAAACTATGTATGATTATCATTGAAAATAAGTTTTTACATTTTAATAATATATTTCAGGCTATGCAATATTTTCCTTTCATCTTGTTTAGGCCAAAAAAGTGAAAAGTGTACCAAAATCAGATGCACACCACAGTTCCATATTTTTTATAACTACTGACCTATTTTAATAGCTGCTTCCAGGTCTGCGTCTTTATCCACAAACACATGACAGACGCCCTCGCTGTGGCCCAGGACAGGAATGCCTTTACTCTCCTGCTGTATCTTAGAAACCAGTTCCTTGGAACCTCTAGGAATCACCAGGTCAATGTATTCATCCATCTGCAGTAAGTCAGTGATGTCTTCTCGTCGACTGACCTACGGAGTGAGACAACTTGTCAATAAACTGGTGTTCATAAATAAACCTCCACAAATTAGCATGGCTGTACACTAACCATACAGCATCTTAACGTCTAAAATAACATGAAATCTTAAGTGATAGTTTTCAAAAGTTTATTGATATTTAACTGAAAAGTATACCCACCAAGCTCACAGTATCTTTTGGGACATGTGGGGCTAGAGCCTCTTCTACAAGCTCATGAAGTATTTTATTACTGTGATATGCTTCCTTGCCTCCCTTCAGTAGTAAACCATTGCCGGTGGCAATGGAGAGGGCAGCAACCTAGACGAAAAATTATATCAATCAATTAGAAACATTCAAATTTGTCTTGCACACTGATGAGGCAAAAATTAATTTCTTTTTAAAAAAATTATCATTTTATATTAAAAGTTTTAAGACGTAATCCATACAAACCTGTGGTAAGGCATCTGGTCTGGACTCAAATATGACTAGCAGTACACCTATAGGTACAGTGACTTGTGTAAGGTCCATTCCCTCGGCGACCTTGGTATGGCGCAAGACGCGGCCAATGTTAGTATGGGATGTGGCAGCTATCTGTCGCAGGCCGCCTGATAGATTCTGTAACTTTGCCTGGGTTAGGATCAGACGGGAGATGTTCACTGGGAGAAGTCCTGAAAAGAGGACATTAATACAACCTTCATTTACACTCTTTAAATCTTGAACTGGTTTAGAGTAAGGTTTGAGAAATCTTGAGAACTATGCCATCTATCTACTACTGAAAAAGAAGCAAGTAAAACACTACGATCAAATTATCTTGGAGAGAGAAATTCCTTATGAAACAAATATATAAGTCCAACCGACGTTCTACCCATAATTTCTCCACCTACCAGCAGCTTTAGCTGCATCCACATCCTTCCTATTGGCTGCTAGTATTTCAGCGGATCTGTCGATCAGTAAACCTGCCAAACTGTTGATGATGTCCGCCCTTTTTTCAGAGCTTAGTGCTTGCAAGGCATAGCAACCTTCTCTTGCTGGAATAATAATGTTAATCAAATAAGTGACATATTATAATTGCTTAAAACTTAGTCAAATTCTTAAAATAAATATTAATTTTATTAATTTGACACCAATACTCTTTCTCTTCAGCAGCCCCCAAAAATTGGTTGTTCCTTAGAGGGTGTGGTGTCAGCAAAGCAAAAGAGGCATAAAAATCCAAGATGGCTATGGATCTGCTTCCAGTTAGCATGAAGTTATAAACAAACACAATTCCCAAAGAGACTGAAAAAGTTCAATTAGGAAAAAAAAAATTGTGTCTTATATTGGTCATTACACAAAAAGTGAGCATTTGAATCATATTAGTGATGCAAACACTTTGTGTAAGATTTGCATTATTCTGACTTGTCTAATAATTTGTTCTGCCTTATTATTGTCTTTTACTGCAGAACCATCCAATTAAGAATGAAATCAACTTTAATGAAAAAGTGATATAAAACAGATACACAAATATTACACAATATTAATGGGTCAGTCACTTATGTGCCTCACATTTTCAAATGACTTACATATACAAGTTAAGTGTTTGCTTTCTGAATGAGCTAATGCCTAAAAAGCAAACAAGTAGGTCAGGACATATTGAATCAGCCCCAGATAAAAGAGCTGATAAATATGAACTTGTACTTGCTACTTGCATGATAGTATGAGCCTAGGGTACAGGGAGGAAGGGGTGCTGGGTCATATTTATCACAACAACAACTAAAAGGTAATAACTAATTTTAACCTGCTTTCTTACTGCTTGTTAATTTCATAATACCTCACGAAAAAGCAACCTGAGGATTGAGTGAGAGAAAAACAAGAGACCATACAAGGTTTTTAAGACAGACACTGTCAAATCTATGTTATCAGAACAAAGGTGAACACTAGCTGCCATCACAGCTCATGAAATGGGTGTCAAAGTTGTTTGCTCTTCTACAATTGTTGCCTGTATTTTAGCTGTGTTGTTTATGATTGCCACTAGTCATGCAGAGATTCTGGAAACAAAGCTGGGTAGACTTCGTGGAAAGACCCAAACAGTCAACGGAAAGAACATAGATGTCTATCTTGGGGTTCCATTTGCAGAGCCTCCTCTTGGACATCTACGCTTCCGAAAGCCTGTACCCAAGAAGCCATGGACACGCATCATAGATGCTACTGAATATGGGCCTTCATGTACCCAGACTTTCTTTCCCGGACTCAAGGAGATATTACTTCACACTGATATTTCAGAGGATTGCCTTACTCTTAATGTGTACGTCCCTGTATCTGAAAATAAGGCACCCAAAGCAGTAATGGTTTGGATTCATGGTGGAGGGTACTCCATGGGTCAGGGGATGGCAACCCCATGCCAAGAATTGGCTTTACACGGTGATGTTATTTGTGTCACCATCAACTATAGGTTGCATATTTTTGGATTTTTATCAACACTGGATGAAAATGCCCCAGGTAATTTTGGGCTGTGGGATCAGCATGAGGCCTTAAAATGGGTCAAAGAGCACATCTCAACATTTGGTGGTGATCCAGAAAGCATTACCATATTTGGTGAATCTGCTGGTGGTTCTAGCGTGCTGCATCAAGCGATAACTAAATATAACATCGGACTGGTCAAACGTGCCATCAGCCAGAGTCCGCCCGCTTTCAGCAGTGGATTTGCCTTCTCAAGGAAACCTCTTCAATTAGCCAGGAATATGGGTCACAAACTGAATTGCAGTGCTTCGGACAACAAAGATTTCAGTGACACTCCGAGATTGGTTAACTGCTTACGTTTGGCATCTGTGCAGGATCTTCTTCATGCATCTGCTGAGCTATTAACACCTGGCATTTCAAACAACACTGAGGAATATGGCATCATGCCTTTTGCTCCAGTAGAAGATGGAGACTTTGTGCCTTATGGTGCACAGGGATATTTTTCGGCTTCCAAATCCAAAAGCAATCCAGAAATAGACGAAGCTTTCAGTAAAGTTGATTGGATGGCAGGTGCATTAGCAGACGAAGGTAATGACATGCTTTATTTGGCAGCCATGACGCATGAGAAAGATGGATACAACATAACATCCGGAATACCAGAAGATATCATTAACACAAAACTGGTACTTCCTTTTCTGAAAGCCTTATTTCCAAACAACGTAGAAAGGGTAAAAAAGTATATTCATGACATGTACACCCACAAAGTTGACCCAATTGAAAATGCCATTGCTGCACGGGATTTTTTCTCTGATGTTCTGATGCATCAACAAGTCATAGAATCATGCCTGGCCCACTTGAGATCAAAATTAGGTAGCACCCGAAAATCTGCCACTTACTCCTATATCATCAGTCATATTCTGAGTGGCAAAAGCTTTACTGACTACTATGTTGGCATTACTCTTCCATCCTGGGCCAAGTGTGCCACACATGGGGATGACTTACCACTAGTTTTTGGGCCAAATATTGTTAAAGAAGGTGTTGAATTTGACTGGAATGAAGAGGATCAAAATGCTGCCAATACTGTGATGACATTCTGGACCAACTTTGCAAAAACAGGGTAATCAAAATGTTATATTTTATGCACAAAAATTGGATTAGAGTTTTTAAATATAAAAATACTATAAAAAAATAACACCACATTCCAATTAATTGATGAATAATATTTTATCCAAGAAATATTGTATGTCATTGTAAATAGAAATGAATAACAATAACTAAAATAAGAAACAAGAATTGAAACAAATTTACAATTTTTTCAGAAATCCAAACAAAGGAAGTCCACTAGAGGGTGTGGCAAGCTGGGAGGAGTTCACCAAGGACAAGAAGGGCTACATAGACATCGGCAAACAAACTAAGATGGAGTATGATCTACATCCAGAGAGGATGAAGTTGTGGATGCATACAATTCCAGAGGAAATTGAAGCAGAACAAAGAAAGAAACAAAAGACTGAATTGTAACTAAAATTTGACAACCGAATATAATGCATAATGTTTAAAAAAAAATTAAACTATAATACCAATTGCCTTTAAAAAAACAATAATTATAAATCTAGAACAATAAATACAAATTATGGTCCAACATATATATCAGGTTGAGAGAGGAATTTTTAGACTCACACATTAATTTTGAACATGGAAGTATACAACTTAAATGTTAAGATGAGGACCAAAAAAAGCCTGCTTGATTTTGAGAGACCATGATTTTACTACCACATATAATGATATGAATATAAAAAGTCACCCAAGGGAGAAAGACAAACCAGCCATCCAAATGACAACTGAGTTGTTCTCAGGGGTAAGCCTTGTTGTCGCAGCAAACAAAACTATCCAGCTGCCATAGAGGTTCTAGCCTTCTTGTTGCCACACAACTCCATATATGTAGTACATTGGTGAAAGTTGTAAAAACTGAAAATCCTTAAAACATAGCTTGCAGACCTTATGGAAAAAAACAATCAAAATGAAGATTGAAAGTCCTGAAATCAGGCATAATCCTAAAAACTTTCACCAATGTATAACTGTATAAAAGTGGAACAAAATTCCCCTTACCTTTCATTGCTTGTATTTCCACAGCAGGCCCCTCTACCATAGCATCTGTGAACATGGTGCCCACTTTCTTTCCATCCACAATGTTCAGGATTGCGCTCTCCTCAGTACCATTACAGATAACCACGCCTACATCATGACCCAGGCACCATGTGGCTGCCTTCACCTACAAATAGTTAGGTAACTGTCACAACTACACAATTCATCTCAATATGTTCTCACCTAGCACATTTTACATTTTCTTAATCAGCACATCCTACCTGTTCTCACCTAGCACATTTTACATTTTCTCAATTAGCACATCCTACCTGTTCTCACCTAGCACATGCTCCTCAGCCAAAATGTAGTTCATTCCTCTCACATTTTGGTCAAGAAATTAAAGTGGCCATCAACATAAAAATTGAGTTGACCTTTCTTAGTGGGGTCATTTCTTTTATCAACTTCTCATTTTGTCACCATACATAACATTCACTCTATCTATTCTAAGGTAATAGTCACTTCGGTCTACTTTTTTAAATGAAGCACATTTCCCTTCCTGTTATTTACCTTGGACTCCATTCCTCCCAGTCCTACTCTGGACTTGCCCCCAAACACCACATTCACACTGTCTGTCTTTGGGGAGTAGGTGTGAAGGAGACGAGACCCCTCAGTGCCAGGAGGAGAGGTGTAGATACCATTCACATCTGACATTAAGATCAGCAAGTCAGAATCTGTTTCTACGGCCAGCCTGGCAGCCAGACTGTCATTGTCACTGACACTGATCACCTGAATAGCAACAAAGGGGTGAAATGGTAGACGAAGGGTTAGAGCATTGACAGCTTTACAAAATAACCAACCTTATCTTGTAGATTAAAACATTTTAATCTTGATAACTAAATGCATTTAAAAAAGACTTGAGAATCAGAGATGAAATATCTACAGTCTCACTTGGGTGTCTGGCATTGGGATATGTCTTATAAAAAGATTTTTTCTGATTTCTCAACTTCTTATGGAGTTTGACATTTAACATAAATGAATGAAAATGCACATTTTTTAGCTTGACTCATAATTGGTTGAAATATAATGGTCACAAAGTGATCCAGTGGAAAGAAACTCACCCCAGCTAGGTCTTTGTCTGCCTCTGGTGGTGGAGCTACTGCATCATTAGCATTTAATATTGGAATAATATTCAGTTTTAGGAGTTCCTGCAAGGTGCCCCGTAAGTTCTTTCTACTCTCATCATTAGTGAAGTCTGGTTTCGTGACTAAAACCTGTAATGCATAAGTTTTTCCTGTACATCATAAACAAAAAGAATTATACTTAAGATGTTTTTATGTCTTATCATAAAATATATTTGTTAGATGTCGATATACTTAATAAGTAAAAGCAACTTTCTCCAATATAAAAGTTTTGAAAAACTTAGAGAAAAAGGTAACTTAACTTTAAATGAAACATGCACACCCATATTAGCCATTAAATGATCTATTTGATGTATACAAATTAATGCATTGCTAATAAAAAATTAACAGACCATTATCTTTGGAATTTATCAACATCATTTAGAAACAAATAATAAACAGTTAGTCAGTGTTAAAAGAAAACAATAAAAGTTAACACCACTGATGTGCAAAAGTGACAGCAGTCAGTTAATACAACTAGCATAAAAAGATAAAGACCTTGTTAAATACTGTTGATTTTAAATATGCTGGTTCAGGAGATTATACAAAGTTTAAAAAGCTTACCAGTACTGAATGTGCTGTTGCATTTTTAATTGAAAAAAAAATCCCAAGGCAAAAAAAAAAATAATAATAAAAAAACTTCAATTTTAAGTAGTGTACATTCATTCATACAAACCGAATTCACTCTATGCTACTATATAGTCAATAATATAATAATTTAGTGGCATGACTTTATAATAACATTTAAGAAACAATGTGGAAAAAAAACTTGGTGGGTTTGTTAATAATCACCTGTGCAGTTTTGATGGCATACTGTGAAAACAACTGATTGTACAGTGCCATTAATCCACCCATACCACAGGCAGAGAAGGCATGACTACTAGGCCCTGTCAACTCTCCCTGAACAGACAATACAGTTAAAAAAAGAGAAAAACTACAAACTAAAAGCAGAGTAAATAAAGAAAGATGAGAACTGAAACTAAGGGATGTTAGTAGAATAGGTCATATTTGGGAGACATTTCTAGCAATGTTTCTTCTGTATGCAAGTGTTGGCAACTGGTAGAGTATTTATCTGCTCCAAAACTCTGACCTTTACCAACATATATCATATCATATGACTTCATCATACTGAATAACAAATGTTCATTCTACTTTTTGAGTTTCAGAATGTCCTATATATAGGATTTGGACAGTAAAAAGTGTATTCAACAAAACTTTAGATGTTTCTGTTATGATCACTGGTGGGGCCCATTTTGGAAGGTCTGCTAACAGATAAAACACTTGTTACCAAGGTTAACAATGCAATTTTCAGACACAATTTGGGGTTGTAAAAAAGTAGACAGAAATGCCTGGGTAGCCATTGCTCTGGTATCTGGGGACAGCTTGAACCCATAAATAGTCAGGAATAATATCAGACATCTGATTCAAACTTGAAAAAAAAAATGTTGTATGTGTTTTCTTTTTACCATAATAATGGTTTATAGATTTATAAACATGATATCTATCGGGTCTGGTAAAGATAAGATTATCTCCAAGCTGGCAAAATGATGTCAACAAGATGGCCTGCTTCTGATTGTGAAATTCACAGTACAACTCAGCAGATGTTGACGTGAAACATGTCAGCAATGAAATTTGAAACAGGGATGTTCATCAGATAGAATACAGAAAAGAGAACATAAGTCTATGAATACAAGGTTCCCATATATGACCCATCTATCCAACATAAATAAAAAAATAAATAACTTAAATAAAGTAAAAGGACTGCATGCATCCTCAAATGCCAAAAATTCCTGCAACCACAATAAAATCACCAGAGCAAAATACGACATCAAATTTAATTCAGGGTTTCATTCCTGACCAAATGAAATATTTTTGATGCAAAATGAGGTTGTCTGTTANTTATTGTGAAATATAGGTCTCATACAAAGAGTTATTATGCCTTTAACAATGCAATTTTCAGACACAATTTGGGGTTGTAAAAAAGTAGACAGAAATGCCTGGGTAGCCATTGCCCTGGTATCTGGGGCAGCTTGAGCCCATAAATAGTCAGGAATAATATCAGATATCTGATTTAAACTTGAAAAAAAAAAGTTGTATGTGTTTTCTTTTTACCATAATGGTTTATAGATTTATAAACATCTATCGGGTCTGGTAAAGATAAGATTATCTCCAAGCTGGCAAAATGATGTCAACAAGATGGCCTGCTTCTGATTGTGAAATTCACAGTACAACTCAGCAGATGATGATGTGACACATGTCAGCAATGAAATTTGAAACAGGGATGTTCATCAGATAGAATACAGAAAAGAGAACATTAGTGTATGAATACAAGGTCCCCATATATGACCCATCTATCCAACATAAATAAAAAAATAAATAAATAAAGTAAAAGGACTGCATGCATCCTCAAATGCCAAAAATTCCTGCAACCACAATAAAATCACCAGAGCAAAATACGACATCAAATTTAATTCAGGGTTTCATTCCTGACCAAATGAAATATTTTTGATGCAAAATGAGGTTGTCTGTTAGGAAAATTAATTCAATTTTTCTGAAATCCTGTATCAATTTTAGTCAGATATTTTGCTCCGTTGTGTATCATCTGCTGTCTCCCTGTCCTTGAAACATGCAATGTACCTGAGCTATTCTGACGCCATACTGTAAAAACATGGCCTCATACAAGGACATGAGACCGCTCTGGCCCGCCGCTGCGCACGCCCGTGGCTCTAAAATTGGGCGTCCTTGCTGGAGATTGAAATAAAAACAAATAGACAAAAGTCTTTCAGTATTTGATGCAGCATGAAATGGATAGATTTCTTAATAAGAATACAAAACATTCAATAATTAATAATGCTGAAAAAGACATATCATAAAATTTGTATCTTATAGCACAAACATTAAAATAAACAACGTTGTCACCTTAATAAGCATTCCTACAACATATCAATATGTTTATGTTTATCTAAATCTTGTCTCCACTATCTAGCCACTTGACAAATAAGTCAACATATGTAAACATTCATGACAGGATAAGCCACAAATTGCCCTTAAATATCAATAAAAAACCCCAAAGAACTTTGAACGTCTAACCAAAGCCCTAAATACAGGCTAAATTGAGGTGAAACATTAATTTGAATAAATTCAACGTAATATTATTGCTGAACAAAAATATTTATTAACTGTAGATATGGTCCAAAGATCATTAAGAGTACACAAGACAAACATTTATACAACGTAGCATTCAATCAGTAACATTTACTCAGTCTGACGTCTGACAGGTTGACTGTTAGCTAGCATAAAAGCTTCATAAATGTTTTGCTTGCATACAAATAAATATCTCCGAACAATATTACTGATGAATTTGGAATGTTTTTCACATCCTCTGCAGTTTTTTCCCTACCTTCCCATTTTCCCTAACTGACAGCGTCTGGCGCATGCTCATGGACATCATTATCTCGTGGCGCAGTTTTTGTTTCCCAAATGCAACGGCACCACTGGTCACCATTAACATCTGGTAGCCCCGATTCTGAAGTTCTGAAACCTAGAAATATATACAAATATGTACCTCTGCTATGAATTTGTATTATATATATATTTAAGTTGAATAACTTGAATTAAGTAAACAGATTCAAGCACATCAATATTCACATTCCCATTTTATTACTTTCAGAACAATGAAAATTTAAGAAAAGTATTTTCATAAATGTTTAATTTAATAATAATAATAATAATAATAATAATAATAATAATAATAATAATAAATGCCCAAAATCTTACAACTAAATAAAAGAAAATGAAACAAAAAGTCTAACAAACCTGTTCAACAATAGAAGCCAGTCTTCCCAGTGCTAGACCACATTCGTCTTCACGAGTTATAACTGCACTTCCCAACTTGACCACAATACGGCGGCCATGTTTCAAGTCAGCACGATACTTAATGGCACTCTTCTGAAGTGTGCTGTTAGTATGCAATGCACTGACTGTTGCCACAAGACCAGACCGGGAGGAGACAGTCCCTGGGGTGTGCAGGACAGATCTTAACATCCCTGGAGTAAGGACGGCAGGCCTTGGCATCCTAGTGCCGTAGTACCTTTGCTGAGCGTGGCGCTGTAGGTATCTGCAGTGATGTCTGCAAACTGATGCCTGCATTATGGTGACCTGGATCAGGATATTGAGAAGGACTTCAATGTTTCTTAATTCCCCACTGGAAGACTTATACTCTCCAATATCTTGAATGTCAATATCTATTTCTTTTGGCTTTTGAAAATAAAATCAAGTTTCCTCAATCAAAAACGAGCCATTAATATGAATAAACTGAATTTTTTGAGTTTCCTCATATTGACCTTTTCTTTTTTGCAAACTAATAATTTTTTAATGTACAAATCTATAACGTTAAAATTTTTTTGTTGTAGTATTCAATATGCACAATGAATTTCTGAACAGTATCCATGTCCTAAGGGCAGTAATAAATCTCAACCACTGAATTTGAAATGCACATTAGTCCTCATTCTTTAATTTCAAATGTAAATAAATGATATTTTCTAGCAAACTAATTTAAATTACTATTTGCTTCCTGACTTATCTTCAAGTATATGTTTAATAACAAATTTGAAAAAGTTGCTTTTACTCATTTAATTAACTTATTAAGAAGGCACAATTACACATTAAATCTAATTCCGAGTTCTGTACGCTTTCTCATAGATAGTATAAAGTACACCGCACCATTTGTTTCTCACATATTATGAACTTTACACATGCAATTGCCATGTAGAGAAAGGTCACATCAGCATAAATTGGCATGCATATCAAAATGAAGACATAGTGTGGATTTTCTTAAAGACCATTCATGTTTTATATTGCACTATTTACATAGAAAGCAGTTTCCGGGCTTAGTTCTCTGATAGAAACATAACTAGCAATTAACCAAGGTGAATAGGGCTAAGTTCATGTTACTCAGTGTAACCTGGCTACATTAGCTTGCACCATGTCAGGTCTGTCTTAAACTCTTTGATTTTAAAACAAAACTAAGTGCATGATGGAGTGGTGGAAACCAATAAATCTAATTTCACCATTTCTAATATATGCCTAAGAAAATCATCTTAAGTACTCTCATAACTTTTTGCATGCTACATGTAGTATAAGTCTAGATAGGTACACCCCTGTTATTGATAATCTAGTATTTTCTCTTTTCCATTGTCCATTCACAAAATTTCATGGCATAAGAAAAAATTTACACAAAGGCAGATAAATGTGGGCCTTCAGCTGATATATTTTTCTTTGCACAATAAACAAGCAAACAAATGGACTATCATGAGCACTGATAAAAAGTATAGGGCTATCTGTCCCCAAGGATAGATAAAAGGGTGGAGGAACATAATAATAATAATAATATTGTTGCACCTTGCACCATTTGTCATGAACTGACTGCATGCCAAGTAAAAGGTCACCTAAATTGTGTCACAATTTCAATATTGGGGTAAGTATCCAGACAAATAGGTTACAGAGGCAGTAAATGGAGCACCTACTGTACATCTTTACATGTAATCTTCCCTTTCACTATTTCAATGGCATGTGCTCATCATATCTAAAAGCCCTTTTTAAAATATTTTATTTTAACCCCTGTTTCCTTGGCCAATGGTAGAAAAAATTATATTTAAAATGAATATTTTGTAGTATTTAAAAACCACTTTAACACTATATTAAATAGTGAGGATTGAGATAGTGTTAAGAAACAGTTGAAGAAAACTTGTGAATAATAGTTTTAGTGCCAATATTTCATCATTTGTCCCTTTAAGAAATTACTAGCCTTGTTATATAAGATTAATTACCTCACCTCAGCCAGACATGTAAACAGAGTTAAGGAGTGGGTACAAAGGTTGTATAGAGAGGCTACAGTACAGTGTTTGGAGGGGGTGAGTGGGTGGGAGGCATTGTATAGTTTTATTTCTGCCACCATGTCATCAACCAGACATATATACATATACAAGTGTTACCCAATTTGTATTCTGTGTATTTATTATTATTATTTTCATCTGCCCCATTTTCATTAGTATAAATATTGAATACAACTGTTCCTATACCCATCTCAACAACCACTGAACTTTAACATTAAACCCTTAAGATCAGACTGTCTGGTAGAGATAGATGTCATTCTTATCAGCTTACTTTGAACAAGAATTATAATTGGTAATTTGCATATGTAAGTTGCTTAGAAAATGAACTAAATATATCTACATAGCAGTATCAAGCCTTGTAGTACGTGGTGCCACAATATTTATGTATGTTTAAAGATAACCCTCCTTACAATTCACAGAAAATATAAACTGTGCAAAATTGAATCAAGTATTATTTTACACATAAATTCATAACAAAGTTTAGTTGTTTTTCTGATGCCACATTATTCTACTGTATATTTAAAAGTACATAAACATAATAAGATCTACACTGTCACTCATCACTTCATCCCATCCTACAGATAGATCGATGTATTATTTTATCATTCATTATTATTATATATTATTACTATTACTATTATTCACCACACCTTTGCAATCCATTCATTTTTCAAATCATTCTTAATTCCTGTTTATTCACGCCATTAACCTTACAAAGCTGAGATATATCAACTTATACCGGTTCCATCCAGTTAAACTCAAATGCTTGGTAGTGCATAATTTGCATGAATTTCTTACATTATATTTCATATTTTAACCTCCACCTTATTATACTGTATTGTATGTTTTATATGTTTTATATGTTGTTCTGGTACCTAATTATCAAGACAGTAGTGCACTTGATTTTAATAAACTATATAAACAATTACTATTTCTTGAGCTGGAACATTACAATCTGAACAATCTTATATACAGAATACATGCATGCAAATAATTATCTCATAACGTTTCATTTCCTTGTTAAATCATCAGACATGAGGTATTATTTAGGTATGGTATAGTTTATAATTATAAACCGACGTTATTTGAGTTCTACTGAGACGACTGAAGGAAACCGGCTGATGCAACACTTGGCCTAGTGACGCAATACGTGGATACCGACGGAAGTACCGGTGCTTAGTACAATATGAATGATATCCATATTCACTCACATACTGTAACTACCAAACGTTTACATTTTCATTAACACCCACAACCAGTTTCCACGCCCTGATCGCTATATTATAACCTAAATAATAAGAACCTGTTGATTCCTAGCTCTACCAGTTCGCCTCCCCCCCCCCCCG